CCCAGGGAAGCACCAACGAGGTAAGTGGCTCTTTGTTCTCCGCATGTTCCCTCGGGCCAGCTGGGCCCTGGGATCCCGGGAAAAGCCTCTTGGATCCAGCTGCACGTTGGGGCTTGTGGAGGACTGGGGATTGTGAGGGCTCTGGGTGTGATCCCAATGCTGTGGGAAGTGCTGGGAGCCGAGTGGGGGCAGAGGGCTGAGCAGGGACTGTGATGTTGTGATGGGGATTTTCATCTCCCATCAGTTCTGTTTGGGGATTTTCCACTTGTGCTGAGGGGTCAAACCCAACCCCCAGGGTTTTTTTGAGCACCAGCTGTGCAGGTGCCTCTGCCCTCCCCTCAGGTGAGAGCCCAGCTCTGAGGGGCACCAACAGGGATGTGGAGCTGCTGCAGAGAGTCCAGAGGAGGCCACAGGGATGCTCTAGGGCTGGATCCCTCTGCTCTGGAGCCAGGCTGGGAGAGCTGGGGAGGTTCACCTGGAGAAGAGAAGGATCCAGGAAGACCTGAGAGCACCTTGCAGGGCCTGAAGGTGCTCCAGGAGAGCTGGAGAGGGACTGGGGACAAGGGATGGGGGGACAGGACACAGGGAATGGCTTCCCACTGTCAGAGGGCAGGGTTAGATTGGATATTGGGAAGTAATTCCTGGCTGTGAGGGTGGGCAGGCCCTGGCACAGGTTGCCCAGAGAAGCTGTGGCTGCCCCTGGATCCCTGGAAGTGTCCAAGGCCAGGTTGGAGCAACCTGGGCTGGTGGAAGGTGTCCCTGCCCATGGCAGGGGGTGGCACTGGATGATCTTTAAGGTCCCTCCCAACCCAAACCTTGTTCAGGCAGAGCTTTGTCAGCCCCTGTTTAACCCGAGGCAGATTCTCCACTGAGCTGCAGTGACAGCTCACAGACCTGAACCCAGGATTGCAGCCAAGTGGCTCCCTGTGAGGCTGTGACAGGACAGCTCCATCTTTTGTGGTGTCACCAGAGCCTGCCAGCTCCACCTGTCAGTGCCAGCACACTCTGGAGATGCTGAGGGAAATGTGCAATTCCTCGAAAAGAAAACAGAGCAGTTAAAAATCAGCCCATTGCTCCCCCCCAGCCAGGGCTGCTGTTTGGTACCTCACTGATACCAAACCAGCAAGGGGCAGGACAGGGGCTTTGCTGGGGATGAGCTCTCAGACAAACCCTGCCAAGCAAAAATCGGCGCTGAGGGACAGGTTTGGCATCAAAAAAAAAAAACCTAAAATTGCCCAAAATGCTGCAAGGCCACTTATGGCTTGGAGGTGAATTTTCTAGACTTGCAGAGAGTCTCCTCCACCAGTCCTCTCTGTTCCCAGACAATCCCAAAACACCCCTTCTGTTCCCTTTTGGGATGGGTTCAACATCACCTTGGACATCCCTGGACTTTTCTCATCCCCCACCTTCCTCCTCCTCGCTGCAGCTTCATCCTCTCCTCCATTCACAGCCCGAGCACATGAGGAACACCCTGTCACTGTGAGGGTTCCAGCCTGTCAGGTGCCTCTTCCCACCCCTTCCAGAGCTAATCCTGGCTCACCAACAGTTCCCAGCAGGAGCTGGTGGGATTTGGTGCAGCACTGCAGCCACTCCTGAGTGTCCTGACCCTGCAGTCACTACAGGACTAGTGGAAAATGGTAAAATCAGGAGGAAAAAACTGGCAACATCAGCAGAAAAACGATCAGGACAATGACCTGTCACCGCCTGGTGGGGAAAACAAACGCTGAGGCTGCAGGAATTTAACTCGCAGGGAAAAACAACCCCCGGATGTCTTTTCCAAATTACTGACAGAACACAGCTCAGAAGGGGGGAGATGTTTGAAAAATCAGAACTGTGGAATCACAGAATTCCTTGAGCTGGAAGGGAAACCCAAGGACCATCCAGTCCAACCCCTGGCCTTGCCCAGGACACCCCAACAATCCCCCCCCTGTCCCTGAGAGGATCATCCCAAACCCTCCTGGAGCTCTGGCAGCCTTGGGGCCGTGCCCACTGCCCTGGGGAGCCTGTTCAGTGCCAACCACCCTCTGGGGGAAGAGCCTTGTGCTGAGATCCCTGACCCGAGCGGGGTGGGGAAGGGGATTTAGGAGCGGGGTCGGGAAGGGGATTTAGGAACAGGGTGGGGAAGGGGGTTGTCAGCGAGCTGTGTCTCTCTCTCTCTCCCCAGGCCTTGTACAAGCTGTACAGCGCGGCCGCCACCCACCGGCACCTGTACCAGCACGCCTTCCCCGCGCCGCGCTCCGAGCCCGACGGCCCCGACAGGAAGAAGGTGTAAAATCAAACAAGCCCGGCACGTTCCCGTCGATGCATGAGGGAGGCGCTGCCGCCTCCTCGGATCCACGCCCTGCCCTCCCCTCCCATCGTATCCCGCCCCGGGAGCGCCGGGGCCGCGCTCGGGTGGCGGGAGGTGCCGCTGTCCGTCTGTCCGTCTGTCCGTCCGGCACCGCCGCAGCCGAGAGCGCTTTGGTCTGTCCCAGCCAGCGATTCCCCCCC